GGACAGGAGAGGACAGGAGGCTGGGGCGGACAGGAGAGGACAGGAGGCTGGGGCGGACAGGAGAGGACAGGAGGCTGGGGGGGACAGGAGAGGACAGGAGGCTGGGAGAACTCTCGGAGCGCAGCCTTGCCCACGGGAGACCGCAGGGAAGACAAGGGAGAAACAGGGAGACAACCTTCCCACTATAACCCCCCAATACACATACACACACATCCTGATCGTCTGAGGATTCTCTCCTTCATTCTCAATTTGTTTTTCCTTTTACATTAATTCAACGAATTACTCACTACACAAGGACAAGGAACATTTGGATTCTTGTTCATTCAAAATGTTGTTTAGCTGCAGATGTCAAGGGGGATTTCACAACACTGACAAAAACAACTGCCCTCAAGGAGCTTCCCTTTACAAATGTGGTACCACCAGGCTGGTCTGTGGCTTTAGGACTATTACTCAGTATTACTCACAGATACACACCGAGTGTGAAGGCAGACAGGACATAACCTCTGAAACCAACTGTTCCCGATGGGGGAGATTCCCGCAGTGGCAGTCAATGGCTGCTCCCTTTTGGCTCTCACCCTGAACCGAACAGGCCTTCTGTTCTCCACCCCAGTGGGGAGCAGCTTTGGGGGGCGAAGACGCGGACCCGAAACAGGGCCCTGACGGGCTCCAGTTCTCCCGCGCGCACAGACTAATACGTCGAGACCCAGCGCTAATCACACAGACGGCCTGCCGATGTGGGCAGGGTTGAGAGGGGCAGGGCAGGGGAGGCAGGCTGAGCGCGGGAACACCGAGTAACAGCAATGCTCGGTACAGAGGCAGGCCGCCCACCGTCACGGCAACAGCACAGCGGGACCAGGCCTCACGCTGCATGCTGGGAACTCTACTGGCCAAGGAGGAGGAGGGGGGTAACTGCGCCCCATGCTGGCCCGGGGAGGAGGAAGAGGGGGTAACCGTGCCCCGTGCTAGCCAGAGAGGAGGATCTATCACAGAGCACATCCTGGCTACGCTATCACCGGTGAGCTGGTGAGTCACTGCAGTGATGTCAGACGGACAGACTCCTGCCTCCATGATTCCAAGAAGCAATAAGGAAACTGGCACAGTGCTGTCATCCCCCACACCCACCCCCACTGCGCGCAGACAGGCCGACCGGTCATGACCCTTTCTGGGGCTGCGGCACGACACAGGTGCAAAGATGAGTCTCCCCACTATAGCACTGCAGGCAACTACCCCAACAAGCAGAAGCAACTCTGGATAAACTGAATACACCTCTCTCACAATAATCCTAGGCCTTGTACACGAACAGAAACCTTTACAATAGTCTTAGATCGCGCAGAGATAAGGCGAGCCAGACTGCAGCGCTCCTCGACCAAGCTGAATGAGTCGACAACTCGATGGATTTCCCCCTCTGCGAGCGAGGAACTGGAGGAATTCGGAAGAAACTGACGTCACGGACAGCCCTTTCTCGAAAGAGGCGGGGCCACCTCCGTGTGAGTCCACAACAATTCAACCGTGTGGCGCGAGAACGAGCGGGAGCGTGATTGGCGCTTCGGCCGCTGACGACACCGCAGGCTGGGCTCGCCCCTCATTCCGCAAGGCACACGTGAGAAGCACGCCCGTGTGCGCGGCCCTGCCAGGCTCCGAGTGGACTGCTCCCGTCTCTAAAGAAGGAAACAGCTCGATCGTGAGAGGAGCACGGAGGGGGACACTGTCAAAACAACCTCCACGGCAGCGAGGTTAAACCCGAATCAGAGGAAGGAACTAAACAAATATAAATAAAAAATGTCTGAATGCTAACCGGTACATGGGCTACAGATCACCAAAAATACACCATCGTTCATGTCTTTAATTGAAATTAAAACGGAGTTTGATCATCTCCCTCCTGTCTTTACGGACCAGAAATCAATCGCGCTTACGCGAAAGGGTGCTTTCTTATTTTAAGGCTCGGTGCAGGTTTACAATGACAATCGTCAATTCGTGTTTCGACCAAGCCCCTTCCAACAGCCCCCCAACACGGCAGCGCGCTGGGCAGGCGCTGCGGACACCTTCAGCAGCACAGCAGATACCACAGCAAGCAAGCACGCAGGAACAGCAAACACATACTCACACTGCGTATGTCAGAGGAGGGTCGATCAGGCAGGAGCGATATCCAATATCCAGGGGGCGACAGGTCCTCTTCTTCTGTAAAGACAGCGACAGCTAGAGAGTCTCAGTGTGCGAATGTAGTCCGCCCAGAGGAGAGTCAAGCCGCGACTGCAGCCCAGGGTGATCGCTCAAGGTCTGGGCTCCCCCGCTCGCCCCCGTCCGCTCTTGTATTAACATCTCGGTGGGCGGGGCCGCCGCCGCGGCGCGTGGGGGAGGGCGGGGCCTGAGCTGGCCAAACACGTTTTTTTACTCCAGTAAACACAGCCGGACACGTGCAGTCGCTCCCACGTTTTCCTTCCTGGGGAGGCGGAACAGTCTTGTTGCGCGGCAAGCCGGAGATGCGATCCGTAATATCCGTACCCTCTTCCCCAGGATCCTTCTTATTGCCTCCACGACCGACCGTTCGATCGATCCGCCGAACACCCGCCGCTTCTCCCAGCGGTCCCGGTACACTGTCTCTGGTCAACGCTACCTAGTCAGCCTCTTCCAGTAAACACGTTTGTAGGGCTCTGCAGCATACCTTGTTAGGTGAATACACACACCAGTGATATATATATAAACAGAACAGAGAATGATCCTCTTACATCGTCATGTTTTTATTGTAATCATCTGTAAAGTATTATTGTTATTGCTTTGAAAACACTGTATTTCATCGGCTGTATATAGTTACAGTTAGGCGTCTTAAATGCTTCAGCGCGCTAAGTATTGTTACTTAACTGTACAATTCGAACAGCAATTGCAACAGCCTTACTAGGACCGAGAAAGAAATAGTGGCGCCTCTCCGCCGACGGGGCTCTGATTGGTCAGCAGGCAGCTCCGCCACATAGAGCACCCCCGTCTGCAGGCAGGAGGGGGCGCGGCCCCGCCCCCTACCGAAAAACGCGCGGAGATTTGATCCGGCTCCGCCCGGGCCACGTGCTGACTGAGCGCAGTTTGTTTATGTCAGCTGCACCGGGCAGCCTGGCTGTCCCAGCACCCCCTCCCCTCCTGACTCAAGCCTGGCTCAGTTCCCAGCACCCACTCCCACCTCGTTCTTCAGGAAAACCAGCAGAGACTCCCTGAATGACGAGAACAGTTTGTTCTCAATGAAAGCTGATTGTTTCAGATTTCCCTTGTAGGGGCAGACTTTAATGACATACATGGCTGGGAAAGTTAAAAGTTCTGAATGTATATCCTGTAGCTCTGTTCTCTCGCAGGGCACAAAATGTTCAACGCCTGTACTGCTGTTGTTTGCCTCCTGTAGCAGTAGTGTGATGGGGAGGTTATAGGGACTGTTGTTGTGAGTAATAAGATGAAGATTTAACAAGAAGGCGTGAACTGAGGCACTGACCACTGACACCAGGACCAGTGATTTTGTTTCACGCCAAGGTGGTAGTTTTAGCTGTGAGACTGAGACTTGAAAATGTGTGGGAGTGCGAAACAGGCTGTCTGTTCTTGGTGGCCAAGCTGATATCCTGGCTTCTTTCGTGAAACAGCCAGATGAGATCCTTGGATGGGTAAGGTCCAAGCAACCAAACAAGCTAATTGGACTGCTCGCCTCTTGTAACCTTTCTGGTGTGGTGATGTTCAGGGTGACACGTAGTGGGCGAAACCTCTGGTAACCCTATCTGTACCTTCACCACTGGATCCCCTGACTCTAAGCCCCTGTCCCATGAACTGATATTGCCTGCGCCATGGAAAGCCAGCTCAGAGATGAACGATCAAAGGTTAATCAACTCTCAAAACGACATATGACAAAATTTTAATCTAGCTCGGCTGCTACACTGTTTCTTATCAGCTGTGGTTGTGTAACAGGTGTTTCATTATACGTTCAGATAAGGCGAAGTGTTACATCAGATCAGGTGAAACGTTACGGTGCTCTAGTCCAGTAGCAGTTCTGCTCAGTCCAGTCCAGACTTTACAACTAAGTTGAAGAGGGCAGCTGAAACAGTGTTTGATGAAACCTTTCAGAAGTTGCTGAAATGAGTGTTTTAACACAATCAAAAATAATAATAATAATAATAATAATAATAATAATAATAATAATACTGATTGCTATACGAAAGAACAGTCCCTTCTAACCACATGAAGGAGGGTCTTTGCGTCTTTGTGTATCTTCTTTACTCTTCGTGAAAAATGTGTGCAGCAGCAGTGTATAGGAGGAGGAGAGAAGGCCAGAGTCAGTCTTGTCCAGGTGCCAGAAAGCGCCTACAGCGGAGAAGGAACAACATGGTTACATAACAAGGGCCAGCTCTGCACTCTGTGTTCCCTGCTATAGGTCTGGTTGCCATAGACACCTGACTCATGGAGCTGTGATGTTATAATCCTTAAGTAACTGTGGAAGAGAGCGCGGGTTTGACTCGCTCCCTCCCCACCCCAGTGAGTGTTCAAGCAGCATGTGGATACTGGGTGAACCCAGCGCAGGACGTGTCAGCATCTCACACAGACTTGAACTGGGTGAGTAACACATGAGCAAATTAAAGACACTCTGAGCACACTGAACAAGGCCTTCCTGTTCTCTTTTTGTTTTGTTTTTTAAAAAAAGGTTATTGTCACCCAACAAGAGTTTTAAAAACTAAGCAAAGTTCGGTAATATTTTGTACTGCATTTTGTTTTAATTTCTAAACACTCCCTTTGAGAAAGTAAAGAACAGTCCCTTTTATTGTTCGTTTTAAGATTCCTTTTCCTGACAGCGCTAGGTGCCAGAGTTCTGTCTGGGATGCTCTCTCACCTTGTGTCCTTTGGGATACAGGTCAGGACAGGC